TGTGTCTGCTGTCTTCTCCACCTTTCAGAGGTTTTGGTGTTTGCCTTGTATGAAATGTCTAGGGTTCTTAGTTATGCCCAGTGGGAGGAATAGAGAAAAGTGCATCTCCTACTCGTCTTCCCAGGACAGCAAGTCCTCTTACAACATTTGAGCACATTTAGTTTTCCTAATTGTAACAGTGGAGTTTCATTTTAGAAAATTTGAATAAGGGGGCCAGCTGGTGACGTGTGGTTAAGGGCTCTGGACTCCTCCTACATGGCTGACTGCAGTTCAAGTCCTGGACTTGGTGACTTGCTTCTCTCACTCCCCTCTATATCTCTCTCTCTTTCTCACTCTATCCCTCCCTGGTCAAATTTAAATAAATAAATGAATAAATAAATAAATAAAGTTAAATAAAATAATTCTTTTTTAAAAAAGAAAATTTGAGCATGTAAAAATAAAATAATACATTAAAATCACATGGAATCCTACCTTGAGGGTTCTGGTTTCTTTCTAGGTAATATAAAGTATGTGTACCATATGTGTATGTATATAATTTTATTTCTTTTCAAATTTGGTATCTTGCTACAAGTTGAGGTTTCTGTCAGTTCTTTTTCCATAATGTTAATTAAGTCATAAGCCTTCTCTGATATTATAAATATGCATCCATTCACTAATTTGTGAATACTGCAGTATTAAGCTTCTATGTAAGTAAAACACTTAAGAGCTAAAGCAAGGGGCCGGCAGCGTGCTAACTGGGGAAGGTGAGAGAAGGTTGTGTGAGCCTCCTTGACGGGTGCTAGCCTCAATGAGTCATCACACTGCCAGGGGAGAAGGGCTTTGCTCAGAACAGTCCAGGTGGACAGGGTAACCTGACCTCAGTGCATCAGGAAAGGATTTTGTGAAGAAATCATGCTTCAGTTGAAAGTAGTTGTTAACCAGGCAAGGGGTGAAGAAATCATGCTTCAGTTGAAAGTAGTTAACCAGGCAAGAAGTGTAGATGACAGGAGTGCCGAACAGTCCTTAACAACTCATGAATTCTAACCAGCCTTTAAGATACCTGCCAGCTGACCTGTACTTTGAAATTTCAGGAAACTGGAGCGCCCATCCTGACGGATGACGTCAGCCTCCAGGTGTTCATGGATCATTTGAAGAAGCTGGCCGTCTCCAGTGCCACTTAAGCTGAGCTGTGACCAGGAAACTGAAGGCAACACTGTAGCTGGCATTCCCACCTGTTTATAAAGGCTCGATACCATTCCTTTCACTTTTCTGAGAGATATTAATAAATCATCAAAGGAAATTTTGTATGTAACTCTTTAGATTGTAATTTATTTATAGTCCTTAGCTGTACCCCTTTTCTTGTACCATAAAATTACAAGGTCATAAATTTATGTTTCAGTACTGTAGATGTTTATGTGCTTTTCTATCCTAATTTTTATAGCCTATATAAAATCAGACGTAATGTATTTTGATAACTTGTTTAGATGAAAACTTAATAATCATAAAGGAAATAAACCTGGATCTGGAAAGTACTGGCTAAAATGGTGCTAATACAAATTTAATTTCCTGGGATCTCTGCATGAGTGTGTTTTTTTCTTTGTTTATCTTAAGTTTTTCCATAAGGTGGGTGCATTTGCTGGAGAGCTGGGCGAGTGAGAAATCACCCCCCACGGGGGGATGGCCATGCTAAAATCCTTCTCGTCGCTTCTTTTGGGATGTTGGTCATGCACACATGGACACATACACACCCAGCATGATTTCAAACCACCAGTCCCAGGACTTGAACCACACACAGTTTATCATGTGAGATCCAGCTACTTAACCACCACATCTCCTGCCATTAAGTGACTCCTCAAGAGGTCTTTTCTAAACTTCATTTATTGTCTAAATGTGAACAGACCAAGGAAAAGTATGGAATGTATGAACTAGTAATGTAGAATGACGTTATCCCTAATGCACATTAATAGTCCAGACCAGGTAGACAGAATAGCCAGTGGGCAGAATTGGCCTCAATGGAGGGATGCCACATTTATTTTGGACATCAAGTAAAATAACTAGGACAGATATTGTTATTTAGTCAAAGTTATGTATGTATGCATGGTGAAAACAAAGCTGAACAATCACCTTATTGTTTTTTTCTTTTTCTTTTTTTTGGGGGGGGAGAGGTTGTTGCTATAGGGCGCATGTGCCCGCTTGAGAGACAGAGAGACACGCCACAGTTCCTTCTCCTCCATTCTCCTCTTTTTTTTTTTTTTGCTATAAGGGCGCGTGCGCTCACCCGAGAGACAGAGACAGAGATGGCGAGAAATCACCCCCCGGGGGGGCGGGATGGCCACGCCGCAATCCCTTCTCCATTATCCTCTTGGGATCCTGGGCACGCACGCACACGCACCCGGAGTGAGTTTAGGCCACTGGGTCCGGGACGCGAACCGCGGTCAACTACGTGGGAGTCCAGCAACATAGCCATTACGCTAACTGCTGGTCCTGTCCGATGTGAGTTTTAAGCCACCAGGTCCGGGACTCAAAACGCGGCCGACTACATGGGAATCCAGCAACGTAACCATTATGCCATCTGCTGGTCCAGATAGTTAGATTTTAAATTCCAAGAGCTTTTATTTTCTGTGCCTTTTTCATAGAATAATTTTTTTAAAAAATTGCCAAAGGGTGCACGCACTCACCAGAGAGGAAAAAAATGAGAAAGCACCCCCCTCCCATAGGGCATGATCACACTGCAGTCCCTTCTCCATCTCTCCCTTCTTTCAGGATTTTGGATGTGCAGCCAGCATGATTCTTAGGAAACCGAGTCCAGGACTCCAAACTGCAGTCAGCCACATGGGATCCAGCTGCCTTAACCACCATGCTGTGGGCTGGACGTAAACTTTTTGATAGAGTATTTTTGACGCTTACAAAAATCTTTTTAACATAAAGCTTATTATCAAAATGTACAATTTTACGTCAGAGTAAGACAGGCCTTTTGAGAAGGGCCTAGATTTCTCTGCTCAACAGCTATTTATACTCATTCTGAGGCTTCTAGCATGTTGCTATTTCCCACTGTTACCATTTCAGTAGTGTTCTGTTGCCCAGTTTCAATCTCCACATGTTCCTTTAGTGCAAGTCATAAGTGATCAGATTCCCACAATATTCCTTTGACATGTCTGCCACCATTTGCTCTCAATGGTAACTTCCTTTCCCTAAATTTTTTTCATGTTGGAAGTGGGAAGCTTTGCTCAGAGTATCTACTCAGCAGGCTTAGTGCTGCCTTGGGATGGAATTTGCTGGATGTAATTTATCGTTGAGATACATCACACAGAAAAGGACATGAAACTCTACGGATTAAAGCTGAAACTGCCGTTGAGTCTTTCAGTTTTGAAAAACACCAGGAAGAATGCGATAGAGCCAGCTCACTCGAGTTCCCTCCATTGACAGTGAACTAAAGATGCTAGGGGGACAGCCCTTGGTGACATGATGTAGAGGCCATGGCCAGGCACTTGCTCCCTTGGGGGACTAGTGACTGTTTCCAGAGACTGGGAGTAGCGGAGTGTGAAAAACAGCCATCTGAAGAACAGGCCACTGAACCAGGTAAGGGGAATGATTACTCCAAACTCCATCCCAAAGGCAAGGCCAGCCTCTGACTTACCTGAACAGACAATCCATCGGAGGAATGTTATGCTCTCACTGTGGTGGGATTTTAAAGGTGGTGTGTTTTTTGAGCTCTTACCAAGGAACCAAACAATTCAAATGTGTACTGTCAGCAATTGGACAGTCCAGAGCTCATTGATGTAAAGGAGTTGTATTCCATCATGACAACGTGAAATTAGAAGCAAGTTTGATCACCTGTCAAAAATTACTGGGGAGGGACCAGCAGTTGGCTTAATGGCTATGTTGCTGGAATCCCATGTAGTCAACTGTGGTTTGAGTCCCAGACCTGGTGGCTTAAACTCATGTCAGGCGTGTGTACGCGCATGCCCAAGATCCCGAGAGGAGAATGGAGGAGAAGGGGTTGTGGTGTGGCCATCCCCCCTGGGGGGTGATTTCTTGCTTTCTGTCTCTCTGTCTCTCTGTGTCTTTCTGGTAAGCACACGTGCCCTATAGCAAAAACCTATAAAAAAAAAAATTTACTGGAGCTTGGGTGAGATTGTGTTGCCACACCCACCATGGTTCCCTGACCTTGTGCTGTCAGACTTCCACTTGTTTCACTCTCTTCAAAACTCCTTGTATGGTATAACATTCAATTCAGATGGAGCCTTAAATCAGCACCTTGTTTAGTTTTTTGCCCATGAAGACAGATCTTCCTATGAACAAGGAATTATGAAACTCACTGAAAGATGGCAAAATGTTGTTAAACAAAATGGGCAATATATCATTGATCTTTGTTGTTTATATAAATAAGTGACTTTTGGAAAACAAAGACCAAGTATGTCGTGAGGGACAACCCAGTACTGTTGCTGCTATGAAGAAACCGCTGTGAGCACCCTTGTGCATATTTTCTGTGGACAGTTTTTCATTTCTCTCCGGTAGATACCTAGAAACGGAGTAACTAAGAACAGAATGTGCAGTAAGCATATGCTCACCTTGCAGAAATCTGTCAGTTTTGCAGAGTATCATTTTGTGTCCCTACTACTAGGAGTTCCAGTTACACCAAATGAGGTAGGTATGTAATGGTGCCTCCTTATCGTTTTAATTTGCATCTACATATAGTTTTCATTTGCCAGAGGGCACGTGAGCTCTCTGGAGAAAGAGTGAGAGGGAAAGTGAAAAAACATCCTCCAGGGGAGATGGCCCGCCCCAATCCCGCTGCATTTCTCCCTCCCTTCCCGATTTTGGGTAGTACACACGCGCCGGTTGTGCATTTCGAGCCCGGGAACTCCTAGATCCCATGTAGGGATCCAGCTCCCTTAACTACTCCGGCACCCAGCCCAGAATCCACACCTCGGAGTCCCAGCCCGGGAGCAACTTCGGAACTACAAGCCCCAAGGTGCATCAAGGCCAGAGCAGGAAGCGGCGAGAAGGGCCAGCTTCTCATTGGTGGCGGGGGGTGGCGGGGGCGACAGCTGCGACGCGCGACAGCAAGTTCCTGTTCCTCTTTGGGCCTCCCAGGGAGGCCGACTGCGCCGAACCGAGTCATGCGTCCTAACGAAGCAGCCGCCTGGTATCGGCGGATGTCCATAGTCTATGCTGCCGGGGCCTGGGCACTCATGGGCTCCTTGTATTTCTTCAGCGGCCAAAAGAACACGCAGCCAGGTAAGGCTGTGAGGTGGGACCGGCCTCCGACACGCTGTCCTGCGGTTGGTGCCCACGGCTCATGGAGCGAATTCCAGTTCCCTGTGCTTAAGACCCAGGGTTAGGCTGCAAAACGAACTGGTCCAACGGCTCCTTAGCACCGTTCGCTACAATGGGGTTTTCAAAGAGGTAGACAGCAGATCTCTCCCTGGAGAGCGCATGTAAGAGAAAAAAAAAAGGAGATACCAGGAACTACTGATAACCTTTTAAAAACTGTTACCCATATCTTCTTTATTAATGGAGTGAGGCTGGAACCAGCAGATGGTGTAATGATTATGTGTCTGGACTCCCACGTATTCGACCTCGATTAGAGTCCTGGACCTAGGGGCTTAAAACTCACGTGGGGCCTATGTGTGCATTCCCCAAATGTGGAGAAGAGAATGGAGAAGATGGGATTGCAGCGTGGCCATGCCCCCTGGGGTGTGTGTGGGGGGTTTCTCACTTTCTCTCTCGGGCAATTGCACGTGCCCTGTAGGAAAAAAAAAAATCTCTCTTAAAAAATTGTCTAGGCCATACTTAGACTTGAAAGAATCCGGTCTGGTAGCAGAAGGAATTGCAGAGACCCTGTTGAGTAGCGGAGAGAGGATGCTTCTGTGCCATTAGCCAGGGTGCGTGGGGCCTGCAGTTTCCGATCTTTAGCAGCCAAAGCGAAAACGTTCTGGTTACTGGAAGAAGGAAAACGTTTCAGCCTTCAAAACTGTGCTTGAAGTTTATGGAGACAGAAAGTGGATTGGTGGTTGCCAACGAGTGACTGGGGAGTGAACAGTTTCTTTTTTGTAGATGAGAATATTCTAACATTGATTGTGATGCTGGTCGTACAAGTCAGAATACACTAAGTACCATTGCATGGTACTTCTTTATTTTTTAATTTGCCAGAGGGCATGTGTCCTTCCTAGAGAAAGAC